TTTCATCTCAATTTTTATATATAGTATAGCTCAATTGCTATTTATGATGTATCTCAATTTTTATATAGGTTGTATCTCAATTCTCATTTATGTTGTATCTCAATTTTCATATATGGTATATCTCAATTGTTATATATGATGTATCACAATTTATATATAGGTTGTATCTCAATTTTCTGTACTGTAATATTTATATATGGTACTAGCAGTAGATCCCGGTGTTGCCCGCGGATGTAACAGCAAGAGATAGATCAAGTATCGACCATCATAAAGACTGAAAAATAAAATTGACGAAGATTATTGTTTAAGGTTGACCGACACGCATGTTTAATTATTTTTAGTATGTTTTGTTTTTTTGGGTTCTTTTACGAATTGGTCAAACCCAAACTCAAACAAAAACATTGTTTTCAATTGTTATGAGTCTACCGATTGAATAGAATTTTATTATAAACAATTGTCTTGTAAATGGAATTTTTAAAGCATTCTGAATGTAAAAATAAAGAAAAAAGTGTGCAAGACAATAAGAAACACTACCTGCCAAAAAAAAGTGAAGTTTTGTTGAAATTGGTTGAAAAATGTAGAAAATCCGATCCCATATATAAATGAACACACACACACACACACACACAAACAAACAACCTGGGTTTTATAAGTATAACTCGATATGAGTTGTCTCCCTTTCATTCTGCTGACAGAATCCTGTTTTGTCGTTTTTTCAAATTGATTTCATGCAAAAACAATTGTGTTTTTCCAATTTTTGGCACTGTCAGAACCACCACAAGGTAATTTTATGCAGTCCTGTGAAGCTTTGTTGAAATCGGTTGAAAAATGTAGGAAATACAATCCAATATATAAACGTACAGACACACACGCACACACACACACACACACAATCTGCGTTTTATAATAAGTAAGATTTTTAGAGAAATCATTTCACCCAAAGTAATACAATAAAACCACCAAAACACAACTGGGTTACTGAGAGTAAATGAAACTGAGAAAACATTGAGGGGAGAGAGGACATTATTAAAAGACCAGTATTCAAAAAGACAGAAGATGATGATTGTTGTTGCATTTAAATTCTTGAAGACCAGAGTTGACAGGAATACAAGAAGCTGAAAGAGAGTGTTTCTCAGTTTTCATATATGGTGTGCCTCAAATTTAACCTGACAGTGGTTGGTGAATATCTAATTCATGATCTATAATCTTTGATATCAAAACAAATGTTCTCATGAAAATCCAAACCTTTACTAAACATAGAAACACACTTGACTTGTCTGAAATTGACAGAGAGATGTATACAGTTCAACATTAAATATATCAGATTGTTTTGATAGATGTTAATTAAAGCTTTCATACCTTTCTCTGTAGATTGCTCCAGGAATAAATGCAGATATTGATCATCTGAGACACAGTTATTTAATTTTCTCTAAATAATAAAATAATTAATAACAATTGTCTGTTTCTTGGTTTGCCGAATGAGAACTCAGAAAGAGATTGCATGTGATTTAATTAGATGACTTTCATCTTTATTTTTGTATATTTTTAAAACAAATACAAACCAATAACATTTGTTTTAGATTTTAAACTGTCATCTTTAACTTAACAGTAAGGCCTTTATTATAACTGAGCAAATGTGTGGGTTGTGTAACAGATTGGAAAATGGAATTGGCAAACAGAGTTCAAATGCCAGGCTAGTCTGTTGCATTCACTTTTGTACAATTACATGTGGGTAAACCTTGATTCAGTCTCTTCTCCTCCCCAGCTATGAGTTAAATAGCAGAGTAGACTTGGCTCTCTAACCAGTTTTAGAAATATACACCCAATTTTTTATTTTAAAAAGTATATATTACATGTATCATCCTGAGCATTTGAAGAATCTTTATAAAGTACCATCCTAGGAATGACAATAAAGCATATCTGGCAGCCAGGCCTCTGATCAGGAGGGTTTTGAGGAGCCTGCAAAAATTTAAATGCATCATCAATGCCAATCCTCTGTCTTCTGTTCGTTTATTATTTTCTCACTAAAGTTCTCATTCTCTTTCAGTCCCCCATCATGGGTATGACAATAAACTGCATCCTGTAGTAAAGCCTCTGAAGGGGAACCACCTCTTAATTGCTGTTGTTCCCCGGCCCACCCTAACCCAGGGTGGTAGCAGCTGTTAGGGTCCCAACTATGGGTAGATAGTTAAGCCCCTAACTGTGGTCAAACTCTTTGAAAGTATAAAAATACATTTTTATAGAAAAATACCAGAAATACATTGTCATCAGTCAGTTATGTGCCATACATGAGACACGCTTAGACGATCATGTATCTTTCGACACATGACTGACGAGGCAGATTTTTTCCTGCAGTAGGTTGCCATTTCTTTCTGCAGTAGACCAGTTTCCATCCAAGTCTATAGAACCCAGTCTGTCCTGCTATTTACCCATAGCTAGGGGGAGAAGAAGATTCATACCTTTCCCATGGGTATTAGCACGTAAGTGAATGTAATGAATTTGACTGGAATTTGTCTGGATTCCTCAGTCCAAACGACAGTCCATTACTCCACTCATTGTCATATAAAAAAATTACCAGTCATATATATATATTTTTGTAAAAAAAAAAAATTACCAGATATACATTTTTGTAAATGAAACAACTAATGCTCGCAAGAAAATTAAATTTTGGCATTAAATGACCCATGAGGAGTTGATAGGGTAATATTAATTGTTTCCCTACTTGGTAACATTCAGCATTCATTAACCGAGCATCTAGTACTATTTTCGGTTGAAATTTATTAAAACTTTCTCTTACCAGCCATATATTTTTGTAAATGAAATTATTAATGCTCCCATGAAAATTAAATTTTGGCATTAAATGACCCATGAGGAGTTGATATGTTGCTAAAAAAAAAACACATTAATAGTGAAAATATACTCTCTGGCAGGGTTTTTAACCTGCATCCCCCTTTGTAGGAGAAACCACCATTTGATACAGTTGTACATTAGACTGCTTGACCCCAAAGAGTGAACAGTCCAGCAAGGTTATATTTCCTTTTTAAGGAAATTAGGAAATTAGTTCCATACTTATTAAAAAAAAAAGATTAAAAAGCAAAACATTTTTTGCTATGGAACTATCTTTGGTTTTTAGAGATTTTCCATTTTCAGAATTTCATTTAAAAGATTCTGTACCTTTGATTCTAATTCAAAAATGTTAAAATAACTGGCATTTCTTTTTTCAACCAAAACCTTTAAACTTTCGAACTTCTACAAAAGATTAGAAATTCCAGTCGAGATTCTTTGATCTGTTTCCAAGTCTTCAATGTTAAGAACTAATGAACATGACTTCAGCTGATACCAATTAAAGAATCAGAGTTAAATTTATGGTTTGTCTGGAATTAGCACAAATCTTGAATGTTGACTTTGTCATAGTAATTTCTAAATGCCACTAAAGATTTTGAACAAAATATAGAAAAGCACATTGTAAATGAAAATGAGATTTTTTTTTTAATCAATTTCACTCCAAGTGACACAGTAAAGCCACTAAGACACAAAGAGTTTCTGAGTATGGAAGAGTTAGGAACAGAAACATTACTAATGAGTGGGAAGAGAAAAGAGTAATCAGGAAAAAAGTCAATAGCAATTGACATTTCATTTAAATTGTTGGAGCCAAAAAATATTTTTTGAGATAATAATGGTTTAGTGATACAAAAGAAAAGTTAGATTCATACCTTTCCGTCTGTCCATCTGTTTTTTGATCTCTCCAAATCATAAACAACCTAAAGTAACAGGTAGTAACTACTGTAGTTACACGTGATTAAAAATTAAATAAATAACTCATTTTAATATCAAACAGAGTGAATGGTTTAAAAAACAATTCTTTATTAAATGATTAACTTTAATTTCACTTTTGACCACATTTCTGACTGATATTGATAATTAAACCATAATTAAAAAATTAAGCAGGATACAATATTGTTAAGGGGTCCACCCCTTTTTATACAAGTGGACTCGCCCAGTGTGTACTTGTACTGCTGCCGGTGAATACCCGTCAGTGAGAGAGTGAAGAGTAGAGTGTGAGGTAACCGCTTTGTAGAGTCACAATTGCAAGCACGTAGACTCAGAAGGAAGTCATACTTCGATACTGAATTTTCCAGACTGTATATTATTGCTACTAACCGCATTTCTGGATCTACTAACCGTATTACCAATTTTATTATTACATCAATACATTTATTTGCTATATTTCATTTCTGCGTTTATCATTCATTTGAGACTGGATTTCATCCTGGAATCCACAACAAATATCTTGCTCATATGAGTTTTTTCTTTTTCTAGCACGTGTACTGTGATGTATATAATATGTTCCCTAATGTCTTTTAAGAGTGACTTCATGTGAAGGGATCATAAAGAATGGTAATTTTAAAAGAGAATACAAATTGTGCACAAAATAAATGTAAACAAACTATTAAGATCATTTGTGTATATGAAGAAAGGTTATGCCAAATTAAGGTGTAGAATAACAATAAAATAATTTTATTATTTCTAAATCCTTATAACTTTTATGTAAAGTGAAGGTAAAAGGCCCAAAAGCCCTCTATAGGAGCTAACCTAAAGTCTACCTGAAGGTTAGTAATTGAATAGAACAACTTTGGCTCGGAACTGAAAATTGGCCAACAGGGTTCCAGTTCCAAGTCAGATTCATTATATTCACTTACAGACCTAGAACTCACCTCTCTGATTTCAAATTCACAAAATATTTTTAGATTGTAAGAATTTTTAGAGATAATAATGTTTTACTGATACAGGTCCTACTGATAAAGGTCTTACTAATTAACATATAACTAATAGTGAATGAGGTGGATTCATGCCTTTCCCAAAGATATTTGCACAGAAGAGAATATAACAACTCTGGCTCAGAACTGGAAATTGGACAGCCAATCACTTACAGAACTGGAACTCGGCTCTCCGATTTTCAATTCTAAGCTGCTACACATTATACCAACCACATATCCTAGCTGGTATTCCCAAGGGGTCATCCATCTAGGTACTTACCAGGCTCAATGTTGCTTAACTTTGGTGTTCATATTGGAACCAGTGTTTCAACTGGATGTGACTGTAAGCTCAGACTATAAGAAAAAGGAAGATCATGGCCTTAAGATGAAACCCATTTTCACAAAAATGGCCCCCAAAATATCTCTGTGTCATATCAAAATCTCTTACAAGATACTAGAATCATATATAGTTACAGATAATCTAGATCAATAATTCATAATGCACCTCTTTATACACTAGACTTATGACTCTATTTAATAGCATTTAAAAAAAAATGGTTCCTAGGTTTTATATGCAAAGTTGAAGTATTGGCTGGCTAATATTACCCAGACAGCATAGACAACTGGTAGTTGTACCTAGCTAAACTTGGTAATATTTCCTCTAAATGGAAAGGGAAGGTTTTTTTTATATAGTATTAAATATGGTAGAATTGTGACAATGTAGGTTGATTCTTGTAGACATGACCGGAGAGAAAAGAGAAAATTATTTGACCAACTGTAGAGAGACAAGATAAAAAAAATCTCTAACCAATTGTAGAGACAAGAAAAGAAAAGTTCTGACCAACCACGGAGATTCAGGAACAGTTCTCTCCCCTCTGACTTGTCTGGTGCCAATACCTTTTTATCTCAGAAAATCAAATGATATTTTTGTACCTCCAAGTGGCAACAGTAGATGACCTCATTCTTAGCCACCTGGTGGCAAGAAGAGATAACTCTAGTCATTTGATTTTTTTTTTTAGATCTTTTTTTCAACTCCTGGTGTTAACAAGACCATTGGTGGTTTAGTAAATGCCAACAAATATCTGCTATTAATCACAGTAGAGAAAACTTATAAGATATCGATATGTTAAGGTGGTGCAGTGGAGTAATGGATACTGGCTTGGATTGATGAATTGGAGAGCCAAGTTTGAACTCCAGTCAAGTTTATTACCTTCAGTTATGTGCTAATATCCTTGGGAAAGGTATGAATCCATCTCTTCCCCAATCCCAAATATGGGTAAAATAGTAGGACAGACAGGGGCCTATATCCTTGGTTGGCAACCAGTCTAGGGGAAGGAAAACTCTGAATTCAAACCACCTGCTATCTTGTAGGTCTGCCTCTTTAACTTCTGAGAGGATGGACGGGGTAACCTCAACATCCCTCAGTGCAAAAGGAACCAGAAAGCAATTGCACTATTCTGGCTTGAATATCACCCATGAACCACAATTGTGAGATGGAGGGGAGTGGTGACCGTAGTGGCGGCGCAAAATTTGCTAACTGAATAAATGACTGATGATGAATATTTTATAAAACCTTTAGTATATTTTAGCCTTTCTCCTCCCTTTTTCCTCGTTCTTCTTACTAGTTTTATACTTCCTAGTAGAGTATAGGGCCACTGATTCATTACGAGAGGTGTTGCTGTTTCCATTGCAAGTAGATTTTTTTTATGGGATGAATTTACTAGTCTGACACCCAACCAGTTTTGAATGCAGAATTTTCCTTCTCTAAGATTGATTTCCAACTAAAGCTAGAGGGCAGAGTCTGTTTTACTATTTAACCCATAGCTGGGGAAACAGATTCATATCTTTCACAAGGGTATTTAAGCAAAATTGAATATAATAAACTCAGCAGAACTTGAACTCTGATCACTGATTCCAAATTTCCACACTGATAACTTAAGTGCCATGTGTTCATTCTTCTGTGTTTTCAGTTTGACAGAAATGAGAATCAAATGTTTATTAATTTGATCAAATTATTCAACTTTTGAAATTTCTTTTTACTTTTGTTTTATCATGTCCTATGATGACTCTTTTTGGGCACAAAATTAAGTATGAGTATTTAGGATCGGAGATTTAGTATTTTTACAAGAATTTAGATATACATGAACCAAAATACATAAGCATCTTTTAGTTAATGTCACTCTTTTAATAAAACAAAATAATTTCAATGTTCAGCTTGCGTTTAATTCCAAATCTCTATCTATAAAAGGCAGGATGTGTGTGTGTAACGAATGCACGGCTGCAATTTTCGACGGATTTGCACCAAAATTTACATGCACATGCTCCAAGTTAGTGGGAAGGCCAAGACCAAATTTGCATTTCCCAACTCCCATCAATAGTGGAAATAATCAATTTTTTCATGCTTCTACGGCAGTTTTCATGTAGTTTGCAGCCATTTTCTACTGGCCAGAGTGAGAGCCTATAGCTGGCTGCCACGAATAGGCAGGAAGATTCTATTGGCCAGCGTGAGAGCCAACATCTGACTGACACGAATGTTAACTAGTATGCTAGCATGCAAAAAAATCGATAGCTGCATTCGTCACGAGTGGGAAAAATTTAAATCTGCATGGCACTTTACTCTAATTGGCTCATTCGCTTACTTAAACTCAACATTGATTCTGATTCTGCAGAACTGGGTTGGGTGTGAAAAAGTATTTGTTGTTAACATTCTTTTTTCATTCAGTTTTTCCAGTTACGAGTCCTTTTTTAAAGCTGATCGTTTTGTGTTCATTTTGTTTAGTTCTTTTTCCATAACAGATTTAATGTTTAGTATAGAGCTTAGAAAAAATTTGCAGTGTGAGATAGGCAAGAAGTAAGGCATGTAGCAACATCAGCACAGCAAAGGACACTCCTTTAAAGGCAAGGAAGGGCAAAAATATTTTAAGTCAAGTGATAGCGATTACTGTATGAGTCGTATGATTTTTGAATCAAACACGGGCAACGCCGGGCCATGCTGCTAGTAGTATATAATCCTTTCTGCCTTCCATCAGCATGGCTGATACTAACCTCCAGGAGAGTGACTCATTGAACCTTCTCAGGCTATCTTTTTATACTCACAAGAAATTGAATCAATTGCTAGGTCTGCTGCTAGGAAAGTTGGTTCACTCTGTTATGATAAACAATTTTTCTTACTTGAATCTATCTTACATATTTATAAGTCTACCATTCATCCATGCCTTGAATATTGCTGCCACATATGGTCTGGTGTTCCTACTACATATTTAGAGATTTTTGATAAAATCCAAAGTAGAATCTGCAATGTTATTGATTTTGACCTGGCATCTCAGCATCAGTCACTTTCCCGCTGCCATAACTTAGCTTCCCTGTATCTTTTTCATGGTAATTGTTCTGATGAAGTACTGAGAATTTATGAATTTATGCACAGTACTAGATTGGCAGTTAGGTCCCATAATATAACAGTTGAAATGGCTACATGTAAATGTAAATTCTATGCTAACAGTTACTTTTCTTTCATATCTTGCTTATGGAACTGACTTCTGGATTCATGCTTTCCAGTTAAGTTTGATCTACAAAAATTTAAATACAATGTCAATCATTATCTACTGTCTTCTAGATTCCTTTTTTATTGTTCTCACTCCTTAATAATGTTTTTTTTCTTTTCTCATATTCCTTCACACTCAGTAATCCCATGCATCTTAGTAACTTTATTGCCTTGCTTGGAAATATTAAACCTCTATGAGTGGTACAGTTAATGTCTATTTTCTGGGGTTTTTTTATGCAGCTTAATCTCACAATCAAAAAGATCACACATATACCACCATAGATCAAATCAAAATCTGCAGTTGATATTCTTGAAAGGTTAACAAATATAGCATTTGCTTGAAAACATCTGAAGAGTAATAATTGAAACATCATAATAGAACAAAAGAAATGGTAATTGCTCCGAGGAGCTGCATTTGCTGGTTCCCAGACTTCATGAGTTCAAGCACCCTATGAGGCTGGCATCCCGCTCTTACCCTTTCACTGTTGAAACTACTAAATGTAGCCGTCTCTTCTACTTCAATAGCTTCATGTCTCGCACCTCTCGCCTGTGGAACTCCCTTCCCTATTCCAGTTTCCCTCAGAGCTATAATCTCCAACTATTCAAATGTAATGTCAGTCGACATCTCCAGTTGCCTTGATCTATCCCCTATCCTTCTCCTCATCCTTTCCTCTATCACTCCTATCTGATCTTGCTCCAAATCTTCTGTAACCCCTTGCGTCCTAGTGGCTTCCCGCCTTGCTTGGGGTGAAACGCTTAAAAAACAAAAAAAAAAAAACAAATAGAGATGAGAAATGGGTTGAACAAATCAATGTATAATAGTAAAAATACCAGATCTTAGAAATGTAGACAGAAAAAAGTGTTGAGGTATACCCTGAAACTTTTGAGGTTTACCCTGAAATGTTTGAGGTATACCCTGAAATGTTTGAGGTATACCCTGAAATGTTTGAGGTATACCCTGAAACTTTTGAGGTATACCTGTTACTTTTTAGTCTTTATCCTGAAAAGTCAGGATAGAGACTAAAACGATGATGGTCTCATGTTTTTTTAAAAACATCTCACCTGAGAATTTTACATTGAAAGAATACTAGATGGTAAAATGACAAATATTTTGTAGTAAAACCATAAAAGAAAATATATAATAGGAAAAGACATTATCTACAGAATTCAGAAAAAATATTACAAGTTTATACAATACAAAAACGAGATCACAGATTACTCAACATCATAGTAAGTTTTTGTTTTAAAATAAAAACACATTGTAAAAAATTATAGATAATGAATGCGAACAAGAAGCCTATCTTATTGGAATATTGACTTAAAAGTATTTCAAGCAGTCATACCAAAAACAGAATAAAGACATTAATCATTAAAATTGATTGTTAGAAATAACAAAGTTATTATCAACTAATCACAATTGTCTTCTTTTTCTTATAAGATTACTTCAAATATTAATTTTTTTCTCTTACTCAGGTAAGTGAAATGTGTAATCCTGTAAAACAAGTTTTAGACCAGATAAAATAATGAAACTGGTATCAAAATGAAATAAATTTATCACTCTTCAAAATTAGGTGGATTGATTGATAAGTAAAGTCACTAATCCTATAAAACAAATTTTAAACCAGATAGAATAATGAAACTGGTATCAAAATGAAATAAGTTTATCACTCTTCAAAATTAGGTGGATTGATTGATAAGTAGTCACTAATCCAATAAAATAAGTTTTAAACCAGATAGAATAATGAAACTGGTATCAAAATGAAATAAATTTATCACTCTTCAAAATTAGGTGGATTGATT